GGTGCTGAGAGTTGAACCCAGTGCCTCACACAGGCTAGGCAAGCACTCTACCACTAAGCCACAGCCCAGCCCCATCTGCCTCTTAAAAACGGTGTATTCAGAGGCGAATCAGGCCAGTGTTCTAGGGAGACTCTCTGAGGCCCAGACCAGAACTGGGGGTTGGGGGAGAGGTCAGGAGGCTCAGCACCTTGGGCCAGTGGAGATCAGGCTCATGCACCTGCACTAAAGCAGGCATGGGCTTGTCTGTGGCAAGGCACAGGACTGGGGCAGGCAACTTGTAGCAGACCGCCTGTGGTGAGCTCAGAGGCCGTGGCTGGGTGTTGTTAAAAGGAGAAATGTGGCTTGCAGAGACTTTGGTGTTTCCAAATCTGTGTGCTGACTTGAGTGTCCTCCTGTGATCCCTTAGTATTTTCTCAAAACAGCCCCTTGTCAGTGACTTTAGTTTTCTTTCTCTCCTGGTGAGGGCTTTTGCCTCATTGCTGTCAAGGTGCCATAAGAAATGCAGTAAAGGTCACTTTGTAGCTGGTCTGGTCTTTTCATTTCTGCTCTGGTTGCTCACGGGGCCTTCAGATCTGTGAGTAACCTATAACCTGGAGAGTTCTTCTCTGCCTGTAAGGGCAGCTGAGCTCATCCTTTTTTTAAAAAAATTTATTGTTTAGGTTTTGGTGGACACAACACCTTTACGTTATTTTTATATGGTGCTGAGGATAGCCCTGTGCGTGCCAGGCGAGTGCGCTACCCTTGAGCCACATCCCCAGCCTGGGCTCATCCTTAACAGTGCCTTCTCTGGGACCCTTCTGGCTTCCCCTGAAGTGTGTCTTGGTGGACAGAGGCCTCTCCTGTTTCTCAGTTTCCTGGTGTTGAGCTCAGCGTCTAGTTGCATGTAGCATTTAGGAGAATTCGGAGACTTAGAGACTGGCCTGTGGCGTCTGACTTCCTTCAGTGACTTCAGGGGCTTGGGCTGGCTCCACCAGAGCTAGGAGATGCTTTCTGGCCCTGATCCCTACCTGTTGGTGAATCCTACCTCCTGTCTGCATGCACCTGAGAAAATGTTCCGGTAGTGCCAGGCCTGCTTGTTAGGACGAATGGTCAAGTGTGAGCTTCTTTAAGCAAAAGACTTCTGGATGTGTCAGCCTACATCTTTGGGTCACTATCAAAATCAGAGTTTAAAATTAAAATTTCCTAGTGCCTAGTGCACTTGATAGCCAAGTGCACCCAGAGGCAGACATCTCCCTTTCTGCTTTAGGGTTTCATGCTGGGAGGAAACTCTTGTACTCAGATTGGCTAAGGACCCGAGAGGAACAGAAGTACTAAAAAAAAAAAAAAAGATGTTCCAGGGGCTGGGGTTGTGGCTCAGTGGTACAGAGTGGTAGCGTGCTTGCCCGTCATGTGTGGGGCACTCCATCCATTCTCAGGGTCCCTTGGAATCAGAACCCAGGTGAGGTTTCCGGCACACTGTGAGTACCAGCATGCAGCTGGTCTGGCTGGACACAGACGTTTGCTCACTGGGGCTCTCGAGTCCAGCCCGAGGCTGGCAGCAAAGCCTGACAACTGGGAAGGAGCGTCCCAAAGGTGCAATCACCCATGACCTCTTCAGCACCAGAGCCACAGCTTCTGATCCATTCAGGCCCAGGAACTATTCTCCTGCCAGGGCTTTCCACTTTGGGCAGCAAGGAAGGGCAGGAAAGCAAGGTGCACACCACTTCCTTGGGGCCCCTTCCTGCCCAACATGCCCCCTAGGAAAGCCTCCCCACAGCCTTCAGAAACTTAGTGAAGTCAAAACTTCAAGGACATTTTCATAAACAAAGTGTCCCTGTTGCATCCAAAGAGGAGAATCAACCCAGCTGACGTTGGTGTCCCCATCCAAGAAAGGGAAAGGGCTGGCCAAGAACACAGAGCAGCTGAGTTTCCTGGATCCACACACTTGGGTGAGGGAAGAAGAAATGGGAGAAGCCTGTTGTCGCACAACACTGCTGACAAGCACTCTGGCTTCAGGAGTGTCTGGGCAGAGGACCTCCACCATCAGCTGGGACCCCCTCTGTCCTCACAAACAATAAGCTGTCCTTTTAAGACCAGACTCAGGACCTGTACCCTGGGGGGAGCTCTCAAAGAGCAGAATGAAGCCCAACCCTACAAACATCCCCTAGGAATCCTTCTGCCAAGAAACCCAGGGCCTGGCCTTGGGCAGCAGGACCTTCCACAGGCCTTCCTGAAGTGAGCCCCGTTGTTCCAGCTGTCCCCCAGTGACACCTGCAGTTGATCTCGATAGCTTTTCAGATGCATTTAGTGGATTTGTTCCCACTGACAGCACCCTCACCAGTGTAAGTCCACAGAGCCTTTCAGGGCATATGCCCAAGTGGGGACAAGCTCTTGGAAGACTCAGCCTCTGGAGGGCTCGTCACTTCCAGGCCCAATCAGGAGTCCCTTAAAATGCTTCTCCCGAACTCTGATGTCTGCCTGTCAAGCCCTCCGGAATCACCACCCCTCGTGAGCACACCACAAGGTGAGCAGTCAGGACAGGTCATTGCGTTGTACTTCCCTGGGGGACTCCTCCTCCCAGGATAGGGCACCTCGAGAGACTGATGCGCCAAGCCCATGATTCAAAGTGACCAGAGAACAGAAAAGCAATGAATGCTCTCAATGCCCCAGATGCAACAGCTGCGGGGGTGGGAGTCCGTCTCTGACCGCCCAACTTTTGCAAAGAGATGAGAATTGGGCGGCACACGTGTTCTTTCCAGGATTGACCGAGTGGCCTCCGGGGACGGCCACAGGACGGCACAAACTGTCCTGCGCGGTCCCTGGGGACATCCA